TTTTTTCGAAGGGTTCTATAAGTTACTTTTTTTTCGAAGGGTTCTATAAGTTACTTTTTTGGTGATTTCAAGGGTATAGTAGGCTTACTACAAGGCTACTATAAGGGTATAAGAGGGTGTGCAGACGTATTTCGATTTAGGGCTTAGGGTCTAAGTTGAAAGAACATGTGGAGATGATGTTCGGTGCACCTCACAGTACATCACGGTGGTGCAGTAGCATGTTGACCGACATCATAGAAGACACCCTGGAATACCATGTTGCAAGTTACGCACAAACATGAAGCTTGGACCAATGTCTAGAACAAAGCCAAATACGGAGTCAGCGCTGCTTAGCCACATGCCGACAGAAGAAGTAGATCAAACAGCAGCAGTCAGTCTTTTATAGCTGCTGCCTGGCAACTGGCCCAAGTCGACTTTCCGTGACCACTCGCAGCTACCCTGAAATTCCTGTGTTTATATCTTCCGGCGCAGTAATCTTTTGAACCAGCACAATGATCGATGAATGTGGTAACTTGCATGCAGCACTACTGTATCATACTACTGCAGCAATCATTCCTCGGCATACCAGAGCTTTTGAGCATTTTTGTCAGGTCGTCGCGACGTCCGCCGTTCGTGGCGGCCGCGTGGCCGTCGTCACCTCCAACAAGACCGTGGCTGCCAGGGACCCGGCGGGCGGATAGATGCTGTGAGCGGGACATTTCTAGGATGTAAGTTTAGGGTTTGGGGGTTTCGGGGAGGGTGCTTTTGTGCCTCCCTTGTCGCCAGTTTGGGGATGGATTCCTTCCTTTGCCTGGCCTCCCCATCCTGGTTGGATTTCCACTCCCGCGCTCTTTGTGCGCGTGCCTCGGTTTAGTCAGGGTGCTGTTGCGGCTACTCTAAGAGTCTGAGGTTGCGGGCTCAAATCTTAGGGTTGTGCTGCCGTGCCAACGGTTGCGGAGACGAGTTGTCTCAGTTTTTCGCGACGGAGCCCCGGAGAATGAAGCTTCATCTGCCCTTGCAGGGCCAACAAAAGCAGGGACTTGAGATCTGAATCGAATTTCAGGTCTTCTCAGCTTCATCCGGGGCGCTGGTGGCCCAGCGCAGCTTCGGCTACAGCTACGTGACTGCTGCTTGGCGGCAACCAGCTATACTTTTGAAGAGCATAGTTAGTAACATGGTGTAGTGGGGGCAGAGTAGGGCATAGCAGATTGTATACCAAGTAAAAGGTATAGAGTACAGAGTATACAGTATAGGGTACAGACTCCAGAGAGTTCCACGGCATGAGACAGCTCAGGCTGTGGAGCTGTTCACGGACGGTCGAGTGGCAGTTGGAGCTTACACCAACAACAGAGCCACCAATGCCGTTCAGCTCCTTGTCTGGAATCTTGAGTTGAAACCCTAAACCCTAAACCCTAAACCCTAGACCCTTAACCCTAAACCTTTTGGGGTGCAGGATAGCCCGGATGGAGATCTACAGCGCAGATCTCCTGGAGCGCCTCACGCAGACTTGGGGCATGCCCGAGCGCTCAGTCTGGTGCAAAAAGGGCGTTGCCCCATGCAAGTTGCGATGACACCGTCGTGATGCTGTCGGTTCATGAAGGTTTACCGCTGGGCAGCTGGACGATGCCCACAACATGGCAGACACCAGGTGCCAAGCTTTGGTGGCGTGTGTGTGTGTGTGTGTCCGGCAGTCAGCATACAGCATGGAACGCGCGCATGCGTGTGCACGGGCCTGCAAGGGTGTATGGTTTGGTCCTGGACGACGTCGAGGAGCATGTCTACGTGGCCGGCGAGTCTGCCGGGGGTAACACAATCTTCCGCTGGAACGGCCAGGCAGATTCCGTGATGACTTCCTGCTTCTTATGCTGCCGGGTCTAGGCTAAGGGGTCATGGTTTGTCTTCGCCGACAGGACCTTTCCACGGGCACTGCACGCGACACCGGGACGCCAATGCAGATTGGAAGCAGCCTGTGCACACAACCGGTGTGAGGGAGCCTTGGCAAAGCTGAGGTGGATGGCCAAGTCGGATGCGCATGTCGGCTATGTTGGCCGTGTCCGGGCCAGCGATGGAGTAGTCGTCGGAGGCACACTGTCTGGGGAGTACTTCACTACCGTACACGTTGCACGTTGGAGAGAGCAGTGAGTGCAGAGGTAGGCTTTTGGTTTCAGGTATGCTTTAAGAAGCGATCCCACCACTTACAGTAAGTCTCGTTTGGCCGAGCTAAGCCGCCAAACCCTAAACCACAAATGCCTGAAACCCTCAACTCCTGCCTAAGCCCCAACATCGAGTCCCTAGACGCAAAAGACAGAAGCTAATTATGAATCCCGGTTAGCCCCCCTATTGAAACCCTGTCAACACCCCATTCAGGAACCCCTCTAAACCCTAATCCCTCTAAACCCTATAACCCTAAGCCCTAAGCCCAAACCCTAAACCCTAAGCCCTGAACCCTAAGCCCTGAACTCTAAAAGCCCGATAAACCCTTACAAACCCTAAGCCCTACAAATCCTAAACCCTATAAACCCTAAACCCTAGCAACCCTAACCCCTAAAGCCCTAAGCCGATGCTCGAAAGGCACTTTCATCGCGCCCATCCTGCGCTCGGCCCAGCGCCTCAACACCTTTCGGATGAAAGGCCCCCCCAGGGCGGCGCAAGAGATGCTACGGTTGATGATATAAACCCTGCATCACCCTTAAGGACCCTAGGTTATGGTTTATTCTTAATTGTTGGTAATGCAGGATTTATGTCATCAGCCGTAGGACATGTTGTACTGTATTGTAGTACATGATGCTATGTATTAGGCCCTCTTATACTATATTATACTACGTAAACTAAAGTAGACTGTACAAAAACGATAGTATACCAGAGGAAATACTCTAGTAAACGAGAAAAACTATAGTCTACTATAGTCAACTATGTTAAACTATAGTGAACTGTTTTAAACTATCGTGAACTATAGTAAACCATATAAAACCTATATCGGAAAGGAAGGGGTTCGTGGGGGTTCAGGGCCCCAGGGCCTGGCAGCGTTTTTTCTGCACGGACTGCAGTTTTTCATTTTTTAAGTTGTTTTAGGGGTTTGGGGTTTTTAGGTTGAGGGGTTTGGGGTTTAGGGTTTAGAGTTTAAGGCTTCAGGGTGTTGGAGTTTTTTAGGGCTTAGGGTTTGGTTTCAGGTTTCGGATCCCAAGACAAGGTTTAAGCACTACTTGTTGAAGAAGCCAGGAGCCTTCGAATGCTCTGAGATCCCCACATGTACCCTAAACCCTAAACCCCAAACTGTGTCGTCGGAGCAGGGTTAAAGAGCACAGCCTTGGAGGTAGTGCCTTGCAGTTCGATGCCCAGAGCAACTCTCTTTATGTACCTCGGCGAGTCAGCACAGCCACAAGACGGAGGGCGAGGGGTTGGAGGATTATTATACGCAAGTATTGCTGTCTTATTACCACGTTGTGCCTTATCATACTACATTATAATTATACTATATCATGCTAAAGCATGCTATAGTTTGCTATACTAGACTATACTACACTACACTACACTATATTATACTGTGGTATACTATACTGTAGTATACTATAGTATAGTATGTTACCCTCAGGTGATGGGAACCTCCACATGTTGCATTCCGGGCCGGACAGCCTTCACCTTGGCGGGGCAGAGGCGGGCTCGGAAGTCTGTGAAGGGTTTGGGGTTTAGGGTTTTAGGGTTTAGGGTTTAGGGTGACGGTGAAGGGTTTAGAGTTTAGCGTTTAGGGTTTAGGGTTTTAGGGTTTAGGGTTTAGCATTTAGGGTTTCGGGAGAGGTGTCTCCAGCTAAACTCCAAAGGCCTTGAACCGCGAAAACCCAAAACTCCTAAACCCCAAAACCCTTAAGTTCCAAATCCCTACACCCCTAAACCCTAAACGCCTAAACCCGCATCTCCCCTTCAGGGTGGACGGCGGCGACCCGGCAGGCTACGCTGGAAGCGACCCAAGCCTTGTAGCGTTCGACTCGGAGCTCAGGCCGCGGTGGAGATGGGCTTAAGGTTCGATTATACCATATACTACATTATATATATATATATTATATATATATATATCATTCCATTATATGGCACTGTATTATTCTATATCGTCTTATACTATATTGTACAGTATTATGTTGTATCATGTTGCATTATATTATACTATATTCTATTCCATTATATTGTATGTAACTGTATTACTATATTCTGTAATGATATGAAAATAAGATTAGATTCAAGATCCCCAAACCACTGCAGATACTGGAAATAAAAAATTAAATAAACAAAAAGAACAACACAACAACGAAAAAATAACCAGAACCGGTGGACATGGGAGGTTGTACTTTTGTGTTTTTTTTTTTGTTCGGCTTTGTTTTTAGTTTTAAGTTTGTGTTATTTTTGTGTTAAAAACGGAAAACACAACTAAACAACAATACACCAAACATAAAACACGCATAACACAACCAAAAAAAGAGCCTCAGGGGCGGGGCGCCTCTTTTGTTTGTGTTTTGGTTTTCTTTGCGTCTTTTTTGTTGTCCTGTATTTTCTTTGGCTGCTGGCCTGATTTAGCTATCTGTTTGTCTTTTGTTTTTTTGTTGTTTTCTTTTGAATTTTCCATACATCCCAGTAACTGAAGGATTCGTTCTCTTAAGATTGGAGTAGAATGATTAGATTGTATTGTATTGAAATGTTATATTCTGTTATGTTATTCTGTTTTCATATTATCCTGGTTGCATTGTGTCGGTGAGAGGCAACGCCGGGCCTGGACGACATTCAGCAGCTGGCGAAACAAGGGCTCCCCTGCAGGTTGGACAGGGGACATAACTCCCAGTGTTTCGAGGGTAGAGTATAATGTAGTCGAGTTCTATGACATTTTCCTGTGTCTAGCTACCGTTTTTAGGAGCCTTATAGAAGGTCTATATACCTTATAGAAGCCTTATAGAAGCCCTATATACCCTAAGCTCCCCACCTGCAGATTCCTTTAACTCATACAGTCTTGTATCAAAACCCTCGATCCCTGCCAGGTCTTTCGATTCAGAATGGCATCATGACCATTGCCGTCACAACTCACGGAGGCCAGGCCATGAGTATGACATATTATGATGTAGTGTAACCTAGCATAGTCTAGTATCACCTAGTATAATCTAGTAAAATCTAGTATCATATCTACTATATAATATCACATGGAGGCCAGGCCATCACCACGCCGAACGCGCTCTTCCCGAACGCCTCCGAAGCAGAGGCCTGGTGACACCATTCTCTGGGAAGTCATTGAGTTATATACGATTATTACCAAAACACTATATAATGTATAACCATAATGACTACAATCATGTTGATTATAAGTGTCATAATCGCATGGCCATGTTCCTACCAAGCGGTGACCTCCGCCTCCACCTCCACCCTCACCTCCGTGAATCGGCAGGATCACTCCTGCGATGTGCCAGAGGACACAAAGCTCACGGATGTTTGGCTGGCCGCTTCTGTGACTTCAACCAGAGCTTGAGTCACAACAACTACTGCTGGCAATACTGCTCCTACTACTACGACGACGACGGCTACTACTGCTACTACTCCTACTCCTACTTCGACCCTTAGAACAAGTACGACTACTACGACTGCTCCCACGGCTGCCACCACTGCTGCATTCGCTGCCCCTACCATGCCTTGCTTTCGTTTATAGTGATACGGTTGATGATATAAATCCTGCATTACCCATAATAAGGAACATACCATAATTCCCATAGTTAGGGTCCTTAAGGCCTTAAGGTACTGCAGGATATATAAATCATCAACAGTGCTCACGGTCGTGGTCATCCCTAACCCGTAAATCTCGAAATTCCAAAGGCCTCAACCCGGAGACCCCAAACCTTAAAATCCTGAATGCCCGGAGAGGTTGTGGTGCTGTCGTTCGTCTTACTACAAGTAGCCTAATCGGGCTTAACCTGATCTAATCCCATCTCATACTGTCACAGAGTCTCGTTTGACGACTCTCAGGTTTTGCCTTCCTTGCCACCGGTCGGAACGCCCAAGTTTCCCAGAGATCGCGAGAGGCCTGCGCGGTTGCAGACAGCGCCAGAACCGAAAGGGGCCTTTCCAGACCCCTTCAATACCTTTATTAAGGCCTTCTAAGACAGCCTGCTGCAGCTGGGACTTGAAATTCGAAGCTCAAAACATCCCACACACCCTGAAACCCTAAACCCCACGCCCCAAGCCCTAAAATCTACATCCTAAGCCTTAAATGCTCTGCACCCCGCCCCAAACCCCCAAACCCCCCAAACCTAAAACCAGGAGCCCAAATGACATCCGCAAAAACCCTCAGCCCCTCAACCCGAAGCGCCAAACCCCAGGCCCTTACAAAATCCTCCAGGCGGACATTGGTCGGCCGACTCCGGCTCCGTGTGCGCTCGGCAGAGGCATGGCTCTAAACTCGGGTTTAGGGTTTTGGGCTTTTCGGTCTTCTTGTTGTTTGTGCCCTGAAGCATCCTCAGACTGGCTATGCAAGGGGTTTAGATTCTTTTAGGGCTGAGCATGTTAGGCCTTCAGGGTCTAGGCTTGCATCGTCTTAGGGTTCAGGGTTTTTCGGGTTAAGTGTTTAGGAAGTGCTTTCTTCTCCTTTATACAAAGCCCCTTCCCAAATCGACGGCCCGACGGCGAGACCTTCGTGGACGACGCTGCCACGCGACGAGGTCTGCGCCGCGGGGTGGCCCGAGCCCTCCAGGCAACGCTGAGGTTTCGAGTTTTAAGGGTTTAGGGTGTTTAGGCTTTTGGGGCTTTCAGGGTTTAGGAAAGTTTAGGGCGTTTAGGGTATGAGGATGCTTTCTGTTGATCTTGTTTGGCACCAAGGGGCTGGGGATCTTCAGAGCTGCCACGATCTGTGCTGACGTTCAAAGCCTCAGTTCTAAAGCATGAAGCCGATGCGATTTCTGCGGAAGAGGGCATCAGAGTGGGGGAGTTATGACTTCACTGATAAGGCCAAGACATTCGGCCCGAGGCAACGCAGGCCCTACCCTTGCGTCCTGCAGCGCACATCCTAAGGCCAACCCTAAGCCCTAAGCTTAAAGTATGTCCCCAAAAACCCAGGTGCGAAACACAAGGGAACCCCAAACCCATCCAAACCCCCAGCAGACCCCAAAGTACAGGGCGCCGTTTCCGGAGGTGCCCGAGGAGAACGTGAACATCACCAGCGTCAGCGTTGTGCCGGTTGGGGGTCGGCGGCTGTCCAGCTTGGGTCACGTGGCTCGAAGGGTTCCGGGCTTCATGTAGAAGCCTAAGTTAGTTTGAAGTATCATCCCCTTATAGCCCTTACAGTGGACACCATAGATAGTTAGAGTTATGTCCGACTCCGACTCAATAGTGCTAATTCTAGAAAACCTCCAAAACCACAATTTAGGAGACACATGGGAAAATATAGGAATTCCAGGTTTGCAGTGAATGCCAAAAAAAAAGGGGAACTAGGAAAAACAGGAGACATATAGGCATAAAATAGAGAAAAAATAGGGGAAACATAGGAATATAATAGGCAAAACTAGGAATAACATAGGGGGAAAATAGGAAGAAATAGGGAAACCATAGGATATGTAAGGAAAACGCTAGGAACAATATGAAAAGCGCATGCCCGCAGGGTAGAAAGGAGGGGAAGAGCGGGCCCGAGTTACGATTTTTCTGTTATTTTTCTCCTATTTTATTCCTATTTCCGAAAAACCCACGATTCCTACGTTTTTCCTATGTTTATCCTATTTTGGGCCGTTTGCGGTCTGACTAGAGTTAGCACAAGAGTCGGACACAAAGTTAGAGTATGAGGCAGCCCAAAGCCTTATTCGAAGTGTCAAGCTTACTTCCTACTTTTTGATGGGTAGGGCAGGCTTGACAGTTCAAGTTGGAGAACTTCGGATTAGGAGTAGCAGTCCGAAGTTGAGCTATTCAAAGGAGATGGAAGTCCTATGCTCCCAAGGAGAGCTGCTCGTTGAATACACGGTGACCGAGACGGATGAGTCACCCCTGGACACAGCAGCACTAGAAGAGATGGTACAGGAGGCTCCAATTCCCGCTGTCTGGGGGGTTTCTGGAAGTCAGGGGTTTCCCATATCGAGGTTTAGGGTTTAGGGTTTAGGGTTGAGGGAGGGTCTGGGATCCTTGTCCTCGCGGGATCTATGCAGGCGCAGAGAGAAAAGGTAGCATCGAAGGGTTTCCGGCCAGCTCCCAGCCTGCCCTCACTCCGAAGTCCTCCATCCTCAGCTACTACTAGCACTGCTACTGCTACTGCTACTCCCACTGCTCCTCAAGCTCATGCAACTCTGAAGCCCTAAGCCGAGCCTTCAGTTATGGAGCCCGGAGAAGTACCTTCAAGCAACCCCTGTCGTAGAGCACCATAGAACCCGATGGCGAAACATCTAACCCGAAAGCCAAGAATCCCTTGAAGACATCTCAACACCTTAAAACCCTTAAAGCATTTCATACCGCCTTGCAACCGTTTCAAGCCCTTAACAGCCCAAACCCTAAACCCTAAACTAAACCCCAAACCCTAAACCCTAAACTAAACCCTAAACTCCCCAAACCCTAAACTAAACCCTAAACTCCCCAAACCCTAAACTAAACCCTAAACCCTAAAACTGGAAAGCCCTTGAGGACCCCCGAAAAAAAGCCGCAGGTCGAGGCGAACTCGACCGCAGTTCTCGGGGAGCTGGTCTCTGCCATAGCAGAACTGGCCCCTGAGTTCGCGACCTCCATCGAGGAGGGTTGAGGGTTTAGGGTTTAGGGGGGGGACCTGGATGTCTCGAGGGTTTTTGGGATTTAGGCTCAAGTTTTTCGGGGTTTAGGTTCAGAGTTGAAGGTTCAGAGGGTTTAAGGCAGCAGCACTTGGCACTGAGACAGTTGTACCGATCTGCTGCGCCAGATAGTCCAGCTCATACCATGGCCGGGATAATAACTGATAATATAGGGGCCTTACTAATTAGAATAGGGTTTTGGGGCCATAATACTAGAATTATAAAAAATGAAACCCCCAAAATTCTACTGGTAATTATTTAGGCCCCTACATTACGTCAGTCTCATGATGATTCCTGGCATCTTCCGCCCTCGAGGGATCTGCGGATGACCCTGCTCCCTAACAGAAGTGGAGGGTTTAGGGTTTAGGGTTTAGGGTTTAGGGTTCAGGGTTTAGGGTTTAGGGTTTAGGGTTTAGGGTTCAGGGTTTAGGGTTTAGGGTCTAGGGTTTAGGGTCTAGGTGCTCAATGTAAGAAGCTTGCTCTCAGCACCGTTACCAAGGATGCAAGGGTTTCTACTTTTGTGTTGGTCACGTTGCGCCCCTTGAGGAAGTGGATATAACGGCGTACGGTGCTGAGAGTTCGCTGACTTCTTCAAGGGGCCCGGAGACCGAACCTTCCACCACCAGCTTCTCGAATTCAACCTCGGAGGAGTTGCTCTCAGCAGATGTCACGGAGAGCACCACCACATTTCAGGCTGAAATGGACGCTCTTAGCTCCTCCAGCCAGCAGCACGGAGCCCTTCTTTGGATGGCTCTTTTCGCAATGGTGTGCCATGCCAAATGGCGATGAAGTTCACCGATGTGGCTGCAATCGATGTCTGTGTACAGATGCTTTGGCTGCTTAGATTGCCAGCAGGGTGCTGCGACGTGCTTCTTGTACATCTGCTGCGTCCTGCAGCCAGACCCGCCGGCTTCACCCCAAGGCAGCGGCAAGGTTTCTAGAGGCTCTGCTGGAAGGTGAGGGGTGCCAGGGAGTTATTGGTCAAGTGGAACATACTAGTCTCAATCATTGTGCGAGTGTTACTTCGATTGAATCCAACAGTATAACCCTAAACCCTAAACCCCTAAGCCCCGCAACGCCTGACCTTCCAAGCGGAAAGCATCCTCGCTCGGGGCCGTCACTCACACGTCAGTGCAACTCCGAGCAGCGATGTCTCTGAAACCCTCGTGTGCACAAGCAGAGCCTTGCTTCGGTTTAGGGTTTAGGGTTGAGGGTTTGGATGTTCATCCCGTCCTCATCTATCTCTGTTTCATATGCCCGGCGTTGATACCTGTCACTGCCTGCTAAGCCCTTCCTCATATGTATGTATGGTCGATTGGGTATCAATACGTGAGTGAGTGAAAGAACGAAGAAGGGAATGCAAACATGAATGAATAAATGAAGATGAATGAACAATATGTGAGTGCTGCATGAGGCTGTGTATCTACGTGTATGTATGTGTGTTTTTGTATATTTGCGTGGAACGTATGTATTTGTGCATGGTAGGGTAGGATATCTTACAGCAGTCTGCACGTCTGTATGTCTGTATGTACGTCTGTAAGTCTGTCTGTGTGCATCTGTTTACTGTAGTATCATGTAATGCTGTGCTATGTTATTTTAAGTTGTGTTATGCTGTGTTATGTATACATGTTGATACATTCGGTCTGATCGAGCATGTATGCACGGTGTATCTATGTAAGAGTGTGATTGGATGGATGCATAGATGTGCAAATGTGTATGTATGTGATGTAGCTGCACATGATATGTTGCAACTTTGCTCGGTGCTCATGTACGGTCCATGTATGTACATCTGCGTCAGGATGATTGAAGCTTTGCTCACCTTGCCAGGTCTTGACGCAGTTTTGTGGCTCGAAACTTTCCGCTTTTTCCGTTTCTTCTCCAAGGCGCGGACCCTAAACCCTAAACCCTAAACCCTAAGGACGGGCAGGCAGGGAGGGATTCCGGGGTCCGGCATGGGATGCTAGCGTGAGAGATCCTGCCCCCTGAACGCCTGCATCCTAAACCCTAAGCACTGCATTCTCAAACATGACCCCGCCCCTAAAACCCCAAACCCCGAATCTTGAACCCGGAACCCTACTGCCCTAAACCCTGAACCCTAAGCCTCTTAACCCTAAGCCCTAAGCCCTTAAACCCTAAACCCTAAAAGCTCTAGTGCCCTAAGCCCTGTCAGGTCTAGAGCCATGGATTGGAATGGACTCGAAGCTCTTCAGGCTCTTGGACAGGCCACGGGACTTCTTAGCCCGGTATGGTCAAGGGTTAAGGGTTGAGGGTTTAGGGTTCAGGGTTCAGGTTTAGCGTCAAGGGTTAAGGGTTCAGGGTTTAGGGTTTAGGTTTAGCGTCAAGGGTTAAGGGTTCAGGGTTTAGGGTAGAGGGTTCAGGGTTTAGGGTCCAGGGTTGCGATAACACCAGTAGTGATAGCACCAACACTACAATAAAGCCCTCGCGCAGCGGCAAGACTAGTGATGCTAGCATCGCGAGAAAGAACAGTATCCATGTTGTTCGCACCGTTAGTGCTAACGGAAGGTCAAGAGTATGCAGCCAATGCGAATACTGCCACCTCTTGCTCCCGCATATCGAAGTGCCGAAGTGTCAGGGCACGCTGAGCAAGGTCAATGACAAGGCACGCAGAGCAGAGACAACCATTGCACTTCCAGCAAATGCTAGTGCTGTTTTGCGTTGCCATGAGCATTGTGCTCACTGCGCACACCATATGTCCTTCGTCGGAAGCTGTTTCGCAGCATTGGATTTTGACAGAGTGTGTCCTGCTTGCCAGGGCTTCGTGCCAGACGAAGTCCGCAATACTTTTTTCAGGCATGGCTCTCAGCAACTTCAGGCACAGCATCTGAGGGCTCTACGGTCCAGGGTCTAGGAATTCGCTGCCAAGATCATCACCTCTTCTGTTTTGAGTTGCCACCTCGCGACATGCATGTTGAAACACGCCTTCGGCAGTCCCAAAAGTGCTCCGTCGTCTGTCAAGACGTAGAATCGCGGAGACTATGCTCCGAAATCCCCAAACCAGTTTTTCTAGCAACTTGGTTGACTAGTGCGCTCTTAGGACAGCGATGGGGTCTAGCGGAAAGCCGTCGCAACATTGCAAGGCACTGGCACATAATAGCGAAGGAGAAAGCAGGATACAATAATGACGGTCATCGGCAACCCTAAATCCTAGGAGCCAGCCTTGCGTTGGTACTCCAGGAAGCTGCGCATGAAGAGCGAGAACCGCACCTGTTTCGAGTGTCCAGCCAGGCATGGGTGGTGTGATTAGAGGAACCTCAATAGTTGGAGCATTGTTGTGGGGGGTTTTACGCTATACTTATACTGAAGAGCCCGAGGAACAGTATGATTCACTGTTCAGACTTCTATGTTGGGGTTGCGGAGCTTGGCTTTTCCAGAGAAGGGGTCGGGCCAGTCGTATTTTGTTTGATTCCTCCTGACTTCTGCAGGAATCCTACCTGGATCTCGCTGACCTGGGGCATCTATCTCTGCCCACAGCTCAGCCCAAAGCCCTCAAGCATAAACCGTGATATCTAGTTATGCGCTTATGCATTTAAAGTAGACCTATACATGTACATGCATGTATGTATGTATGTATGTATGCATGCATGCATGCATGTTTGTATGTATGTATAAAGCACGCATATGTCTAGAACCCTAAACCGTAATGCTTAGGGAAGAGTGTGGTGATCCACTTGAGAAGCACTTGACGCGACCTGCTGAGGTCTGGAGTGTTCCGGAGAGCATAGACGAAAGGCCAGGGTGTCCGCAACGGAGCGTGCGAGTCTTATAAGGGTATCAAAAAGGTAATCATATACAATAAAAGAACTATAGAGGCATTACAAAGGCAGTATAGGGGCACTGGAGGTGTACTTCATTGAGGGCCCTGCACTTCATTGAGGGCCCTGCATGTGTACCAATGAGCGCCACATTGTGAAAGCATTGACCTGCACCCTAAACCCCAAACCCTAAACCCCAAACCCTAAACCCTAAACCCTAAACCCTAAACCCCAAACCCTAAACCCTAAACCCTAAACCCTAAACCAACCCTAAACCCCTCATTGACCTGCAGGGTGTCCACATATCTTTTGTACGAAGCGCGGCGACCTCAGACTTCATTCAGCGTGGCCCTGAACCTTCAAAAAACCTGCAAGCCAAAGAATAAACCCTAAACTTAACCCTCAATCCTAAACCCAAAACCCAAAACCCTGAACCCTGAGAAACCTGAAAGCCAAAGTTAGGCCTGGACTCCTAAATCCGTAAGCCCTAACCCCCTCCCCCCTTTCCCATGATAGCAAACACTCTCTAAGGCTCCCCCAAGCCTTGCCCCTACTGTTGATGATGTAAATCCTAGATTGCCTTAAGGACCCCAAAGTATGGGAGTTATGGTATATTCCTTATTATGGGTTATGCAGGATTTACATCATCAACCGTAGTGTCCTAGAAGAGCTCCTTCTTTCACCCAGGTGGAGCTTGATAGCTTCACGCCAGAGCAGATGGTGCAGCCGGGAGCCCGGTGAGGTTAGGGTTTGGGGTTTAGGGTTTAGGGTTTGGGGTTTAGGGGTTAAGGGTTAGGGTTTAGGGTTTTTGGAAGCCGAAGGTCCGAAGACACGCTGAGGGGTTCGAGGGCCCCTGCTTTGCCCGAGGATGGCCGTGGGAGGCAACGGCAAGGCGTGGTTCCGGACGGCAGGTCTTTAAAAGGGTTTAGGGTTTAGGGCTTAGGGTTTAGGGCTTAGAGTTCAGGGTTTAGGGTTTCGGGTTTAGGGTTTAGGGTTTAGGGTTTAGGGTTAAAGGGATTCATGCATGCGCGAAATTTCTGTTCAAAAGAAGGCACCCTTCGGGGCTTAGAAGGGTACTGTGAGGATTGTTATACCCTATACCCTAAACCCTAAATCCTATACCCTATACCCTAAACCCTAAACCCTAAATCCTATACCCTATACCCTAAACCCTAAACCCTAAATCCTATACCCTATACCCTAAACCCTAAACCCTCTACCTACAAGTTTCGGCTCCGATTGGGGCTTCAGGTTTTCTGCCGTCGCTTCAGGTCGGTTGGCACAGTGCATCTAAAGTCCAGAAGTTAGCAGGCTCCTTTGAGGGTTTAGGGTTTAGGACGGTTTAGGGGTTTAAGGAGTTTAGGGTTTAGGGCTTTAGGGTTTAGGGGTTTAGGAGTGTTAAGAGTTTAGGGTTCCGGCCCTAGGGTCTCCAGGTGATGTGCTCTAAAGTTCCTAGGTCAAAGGCGTTCAGCAGCCATGAGCCTATCACAGACGCGGACAAAATCTTCCCGAATACCTATGGTATTCCTTGGGGTTCCTTGTTATAATCGTAGAAGAACTACCCAATTCCAATCATTAAGGCCCCATATCCGTTTGCAGCAGTTTATGTCGACACACCTGCAACTGCTGTCTTGACAATGATCCGATAATCATTGTTGGTCTTGAGAACAAAGACGGAAGATATGATAGACTGCTAAGCAGCTGAGAGTGGTAACAGACATGCGCATTGGCAAATGTACCAGTACTGTGGTACTCCTGATGCGAAGGCAAAGGCTGCTGCAGACATGAGTTGCTAGTATTGTCGTCGGGGCATCGCCCAGGCGAAAGCCTTCAGGACCGGAAACCCTAAACCCCTAGTTGATTAAAGCACCAAAACCTAAACCCCACTTGATTAAAGTCCCTAAACCCTAAACCCTAATTGGTTAGAGTCCCTAAACCCGAAACCCCCAAAGAGGCTCAGGAGTACTTCAAGGGCCACGAGATGGGTAAACTCTCCTCGTCTGGCCGCGTTGCGGACTACACCTCGAAGGCCGCTGAGAGGCGCAACCTCCATGCTTTGTCTTTCGGGTATGTCTACTTGGAGGTTCATGGATAGTTATAAGTGGGGTTATAAGTAAGGTAACTATAGTTATAACCCATATTCGGGCACTTATAACCATACTTATTGACTTATTACTACCCATGAACCTGCAAGTATGCTTTAAGGCATTCGGGGTTGTGTGTTTACCCGTAGTACCTAACATCTCAGATCCGCAATATTCGCCACGTCCATCCACAGAAGTTTATTATCTGCATTTTACGATCACAGGGTGCAGTGTGCAACGTAACAAGAGCAGGGTTGTTCTCAGAGGGCTCAACACGCCCGAAAAGCTGAGATGCTTGGACAGGTACAGGGCGCAACTCGAAGCGGACGCGAAAAAGGCTTGTGAGAAGCTCGGCGTGGCTAGCAAAAGTGCCAGCCAGGCAGGGGCACCGTCGGTAGAGCCGAAGCCCTTAATGCAGACCACTGATTAGACCACCGGCCTCACCCAACAATCAAGATTGTGAGAGGGATCCCTCTGTGGGGTGCAAGAATGCAGGGGTCCCCCGTCCAGCTTTTCCCTACAGCCTTGTATTGATACTGGTTTTGTTACTGGTACTAGTATTCGTATTCGCATTACTACAATTAGTAGCTTGAATGTTCGCGGACCATGAAACCTTTTCGATTCCACTTGCAACCCGTATCCATCCCTTACGAGACCCTCTCAAAAACGCTGGCTTGAAAACCTTGCACACAAAAGGTTGGCAATCATGAGCAACACTGTTCCCCTAAAATAGTCCCCGTAAGAGTATAGTGGGATATTTGGTAAACATCCTATTCTACCTGTTACGGCCTATGTAGAAGGGTGAGCAGAGTGTTTCGGAGGCCGCCAGCAAAGACGAAGGTCCAGTGGATCCAGTGGACCAGGCCCAGTACATGTTTTGGTTTAAGATGAGTAAAACCCTTAACCCTAAACCGTAGCATCGTGGGCTTAAGTTTTGGGCTTTAATCGTTGCATGAAGGATGCAGAAGGATGCAGGATGTAGGGCCAATGCAGGGTTTAGTGGAGCACTTGGCAAGATAAGGTCACATACCACACTAGAGTATAGTCTAGTATTTGGTCGTGAATACGGCATGCAGTCTCAGATATATATATATATACACTCATACATATGTGTGTGAGATGGCATTATGCAGTATGCAGTATGGTATAACATGGCATAATCGACTCTAGGCAAGAAGCATAGTGCAAGATACTACATTAGAACACCATAACAAGCCGTTCAATACGGTACAATACAGTCTACTGAGATATAATGCAACCCCAGGCAGTATAGTACACCACTGTGCAGCATATTAAGTACCACATAATGCTGTATACGGAGATATCGGACATGACCGGATATCACAAGATATCATACTATGAGGTTCATGGCAGGTAACAGAAAGAAGGTGGTACACCAAACCCCAAACCCCAAACCCT